AACAGGAGGATCACTACAAGTCTGATTTATGTAGTGAGACCCTGTAGACCTTGTACCAAATACAACTACAAAAAATCTTTATGAGCGGCTGGGAAGATGGCTCAGTGGAATAAGCACTTCCCTGGCAAGTGCAAGGGCCTGAGTTCAATCCCTGTTTCCACCAAAAAAAAAAAAAAAAAAAAAAAAAAAATCTTTATGGCTGCCAAGCTTTATCGCTTTGGCTTTTTTTCACAAGGCCTGAGCAAGTGTCTGTGGTAGACAGGCATTACCTTTGCTCTTTCTTTGCATTTTTGTTCAAGATAGGCTTGAGGGTTTCTGCAGGGTAAAACTTTTTTTTTTTTTTTTTGTATTTTACGGAAGGGTCTACATGGTGTTCAGGGTCTCACTATTAGATTGGACTCATAGTGATCCACCTGTTTACAGCTCCAAGAGCTGGGATTATAGGCCTGCACTACCACACCCAGTCTCAATTGCCTTTTCTGCCCACCCCAGGGGCGGGGCCAGCATGGCAGGCCCAGGGATCGAACCCCTGGCCCCTGTGCCTACTTGCAGGTGCTTTAACCTGCTGAGCTATTTGGCTGGCCCAGGGTAAAACTTCTTATGGCACAGCATTGTGAGCTCATGGGCATATGTGGTCTCAGTGGTTTGTGTGCTTCTATTTGTAGTATGGGCTGTAGTCCCGTTTAATGTCAGTTGGTAAACGGTCTTTTAGTGGGCCAAAGAAATACAGGGTAGGGGCCATGGAGATATCTCACTTGAATAAGTGCTTGCCTAGCAAGTGCAAGGGTCTGAGTTCAGTCCCTGGCTCCACAAAAGAAAGAAAGAAAGAAAGAAAGAAAGAAAGAAAGAAAGAAAGAAAGAAAGAAAAAGAAAAGAAAAGAAAAAAGGAATACAGGGTAAAACTACTTCCTCCCCCTCCCCCCTTTTTATCATGCTATGGATCCAACCCAGGACCTTGATCATGCAAGGCAAGAACTCTACCACTGAGCTACAGTTCTAGCACAGTTTTTTTTTTTTTTTAGCACAGTTTTTAAAACTTAAAATTGTGTGAAATACTCATTTGATGACCATACTTGCAAAATTGTTTTACAGATTTATCTGTTCTTCTTCTTCTTCTTCTTCTTCTTCTTCTTCTTCTTCTTCTTCTTCTTCTTCTTCTTCTTCTTCTTCTTTGTTGTTGGCAGAACTGGGGATGGAACTCAGGCCCTTGTGCTTGCCAGGGAAGCACTTATTCCACTGAGCCATCTCCCCGGCCCCTTGTTTTACAGATATAATGCAATTCCAGTCAAATTTCTAATAGCATATCTCATAGAATTAGAGAAAACAATCCTAAAATTCATTTGGAACCAGAAGTGACCTAGAATAGTGAAAGCAATTCTGGGCAACAAAAATAAGGCAGGGGGCATCACAATTTCTGACTTTAAATTATACTACCAAGCTACTGTGATAAAAAGTGTGGTTCTCGCAAACAAACAAACAAACAAACAAACCAGACCTGAAGATCAATGGAACAGATTAGAAGATGCACAAATAACTGCAGCCCTACTTAACCATGTTATCTTTCAAAAGGTGCCAAACATATTCACTAGAAAAAGATAACCTCTTAAGAAAGAAAAAAAAAAAAAAGAAAAAGATAACCTCTTTAAAAATAAATGCTGCTGGGAAAACTGGCTTTCTGAACACATGATTGAGATTAAAACTAGACCCATATCTTTCACCCTCCATGAAACTAAAATCAAAATGGATGAAATATCCAAATATTTTTTTTTTGCTTCATAAAATGATTTTATTTTTTTTAATTTTATTTTTTTTTAATTTTTTATTTATTTATTTTTATTTATTACATTTATTTATTGTATGTGTGTGTGGCCATCTCAGCCCACCAGGGGGCGGGGCTGGCTGGCATGTGGTGCTGGGGGATCGAACCGCGGTCCCTGTGCTTTGCCAAGCTTGTTTCAAGTAGGTGCTTTAGACCACTGAGCCATCTCTCCAGCCCCGAAATATCCAAATATTAAAACACAAACATTAAATCTGCTGGAAGATAAGGCTCGGTAGAAGTCTTGAAGATGGGGGGGTAGGCCAAGACTTTATGAGCAAAACTCCAATCACACAGGAAGTTTCATAGAGTCAACCACTGGGATCTCATCTTAGTAAGAAGCTTTTGCACAGCAAGTGAAACCACTATCAGAGTGAAGAGACAGCCCGCAGAGTGTGGGAAGAAGTTTGCCAGTTGTTCCTCAGACAAATGCTTATGATACAGAACATATAAAGAACTCAAAAAAAAAAAAAAAAAATCAGGCTCCCTAAGTGTATGTTTTTAAATTTTGTTTTTGATTTTTTGATACTAGGAATTGAACCCACAAGTTGGCACCTGTGTGGCAGGTACTCTGCTGCTGAGCTATATGTTTGGCTCCCTGCAAACGTAAAGACCCAGTCCAAAAATGGTCATTTGAGTTGATTGCATACTTCTCAGATAAAGATGTATAAACAGCAAATATATATGAAAAATGTTCAACATCACCGGTCATCCAAGAGATACGAATTAAAAAACACTGAAGTTTCATCTCAACCCAGAAAGAATGGCTGTCATCAAGAAATCAAGGACTAATAAAAGCTGGAGGGGCTGTGGAGAGGAAGGAACCCTTGTCCACTGTTGGTGAGAGTGCAGGCTGGGGCAACCCCTGTTGGAATCAGTGTGAAGATTCCTCAAAAACCTGGGACTATGGGGGAGATAGTTCAGTGGCACATGAGCCTGCCTGGCAAGCACAAGGTCCTGAGTTTGATTCCCAGTACCACCCTTGCCCCTCCTCCCCCTCAAAAAAAATGTTTGCTGGGCATGGTGGCACACAGTTGTAATTCTAGCACTCAGGAGGCTGAGGGTTATTGCAAGTTTGAGATCAGCCACAAAGTGAGCCCAAGGCCAGGCTGAACTGCATAGTGAGAACTTGTCTCAAGAAAACAAAACAAAAACAAGAACAAAAACAAAACTTGAGACTAGAGGTTCCATTTGACCCAGTGATTTCCCCTCCTGGGTATCTTCCCAAAAGAATTAAAAGCATCATACCGCAGCAAATGTACACACCTATGTTTATAGCCACACAGTTTGTAATAGCCAAAGCTTAGGAACAACCCAAATATCCATCAACTGGTGAAGGGATAAAGAAGATTTTTTTTTTTTTCAATACAATAGAGTACAGCCCTGCCACAGAGAAGGGTATGCTTAAGCCCTTTCTAGGTAAATGGATGTACCTTGAGTCCATACTCATAGGTGAAATAAATCAGACATACATGAGTAAATACCACATTGTTCTTCTAGTGTGAAAACAAAAGTGTAAATAAGGACCAACATGTGTAACAGGTATTGTGAAACAGGAAAAATAATGTTCAACCAGGGAGGGGAAGTAGGAAGAAGGGAAGTTGAAAGGAAAAGGGGATACTTTAGAAAAATGAAAAAAACAAGAAAACATGGAAACCCAGCTATTTTTTTTTTTTTTTAACTTTCTGCAAAGCTTTACTCCAGAGGGGCTCAGTCCTTCTTGGCAGCTGCCTTCCTCATGGCGGCCAGAGCGTTGCTCAGCTTCTCACGCTTCCTCTTGGTGGGGATGTGTGTCCCCACCCTTTTCTTGCTGAACTTGAGGGTGTGTTTGTCTTTGGAGACTTTGAGCAGTTCCATGGCCCTCTGCTTGTAGGGGGCAAAGCCGCACACCAGAAACCCAGCTTTTACAAATGAGGAAGGGAAGAAGGATTGAACAGAGGGTAGCAAAAGGGAAGGGTAAATAGAGGACCAAGTTATGTTCAGGTACAAATCTTCTGTGATGAATGAGGTCATTACATCTAAATTCTTCCAATAAAATCTGATTCATATGTAGGACTTACCTAAAATGTAAAAACAATGGCCTTAAATTACTATGTTAGCTTACAAATTATTTTATTTTTTTATTTTATTATT